TTGTTTCCTTTTTTTTACTTTATCGTTTCACCCTTACACTTTTTTTTTCTTTTCTTTTCTTTTCTTTTAATTCTCATTTTTATCATTCGCTGAATTATTCATTCAATTATTTATGATGATGTTAGATGCAAATTTTGTGTTAAAAAAAAAAAAGAAAAAGAAAGTTAAGTATTACGTTTCTTATTATCAACGATTTATTACAATACACAAAAAAAAAAAAAGGTAAGAAAAAAATCTCGTTGCTTTTTATGTATTGTTTAAATATAGTCTGCAAGGTCGGGAAGCCTTCGATTATAAACGGTATCCGCGTTATTGGATAAAGATTGAAAATAGAAAGACCATAGAAATAATGAATAAATGTATCTTCTATCAGTACGAATTATTATTTCAAAATAATAATATATAAACATTAATATAGAATATTATTATTAACACACACAATAAAAATATTATATATAATATTATAATATTTAATATTATAATATATATATATATATAATATTAAAGAACGGCTTCGTAGCTCGATGCTAGAGTAACAAGTTCGTACACGACGCGGTAATCGTGGGTTCGAATCCCCCGGCAGTCGCGAAAAATAAAGTATATATATAAATTAAAAATAAAATAATTTCATATTATAAATATTATAATTTAATATTAATAATTATTATATAATATAATATATAAATATAAAATAATAATAATATATAAACATTAATATAGAATTATTATTATTAACACACACAATTAAAATATTATATATTATATTATAATATTTAATATTATAATATATATATAATATCATAAAAATAAAATAAATTCTATTATAAATATTACATTTAATATCAATAATTTATATATTTAACATTAATAAATATAAAATAATAATAATATATGAACATTAATATATAGAATATTAAACACAACAAATATAAATATTATAATATATATATAATATTAACAATAAAATAATTCTATTATAAATATTACATTTAATATCAATAATTTATATATTTAACATTAATATACAATATTATTATTAACACAATAAATATTACAATTCGATCATTGAATTATTCAAAACTACCTTGTACAATTACACACACAGTTACATTTATACTTATAATAAATTAGTACAACATGTTTAATACCTGTTAATAATTAAAAAGAGAGAGAGAGAAAGATGTAATAAGTGAAGAAAAATCATTGATCTATGGTGGAATGGAAAGGTGATTTTGTTCGATACTGGAATCGAGAAAATTCCAAGGATTAAAAAAAAAGATAAGTGAACAGATAAATCCAGATCAAGAAAAAAGACACAGAGTTAGATAGACATAGAGTGAGCAAATAAAAAAAGAGAAAGAAAAAGAGAGAGAGAGAAGGGGGAAAGGGATAAAGAAAGATAGAGAGAGAGGGTGGTTGGAAACACGACGGTACATGGAACAGCTCTACAGGTGAGAGCCCCAAGTCCAAGTGGAACACGCGTTAACGCAATATCTTTCTATACCTCCGTTAGGTAGCTCAGGCGTGACCACGCTTATATTTCGTGGAAAATTAACGCATAGTAAAGCCGCTGAATAGAAAGAAAAAAAAAAGAAAAATATAGTAGATAATTATCATTACAGACAGAGAGACAACTATGTCCGGTTTCGATTTGAAACATATTAGTTTTTAAGTTATCATTTTATTTATTTATTTATTTATTTATTTTTTATTTTGAAGTGAACATTTCTTTAGAATCAGGGTAATTTGAAAATCGTTAAACGGAAGAAACCGTGAAACCGATGAAACAAAAATAATTAATTAATTAATTAATTAATTAATACAAATATTCGATATATAATTTTTATTATATTAAATTATAATTTAATTATTATATTATTAATTATATTATAAATTTAATTATTATATTATTAACCCATTGACTGGCAACTACGAGATTATCTAAAATATAATATCGAAACTTACACTTAGATTAAAGAAAAGTTAAATATAAGATAAAAAGAGAGAGAGAGAGAGAGAGAGAGAGAAAAAAAAAGAAGAAGAAGAATAAAAAGAAGAGAAAGTTTCATTGATAAATAAACTTATAGTTCAAATTCCAAAAATCGAATTTCATTTTCGTTGACCCATGAACGATTCACGTATGCACAGATGATACATTAAAAAATATATATATATATATATATATAATACTTCCGTTGAACTGCAACTTATTGTTAATAATGGTCACGTACGTAAAATCAAAGCTTACATTAAAGAGAGAAAGAGAAAGAGAAAGAGAGAGAGAGGTGAATGTAAGATAAAAAGTGAGATAGATAGATAGAGAGAGAAATAAGGAAGAGGGGAAAGTCGAAAGTCGAAAGCGCTTCGTTTCGAACGGTGCTTACATCACTAGGATGTAGCATTGAGAAGTTTGCTAGTAAGAAAAAGGAAAGAAAAGAAAATCCCAGAGAGCCGGCCGCGGCCTCCTCCATCATCATCCTCCACCATCATCCTCCTCCTCCTCTTTCTTCTCTTTCTCCTCCTCCTCATCCTCTTCCTCCTCCTCCTTCACCACCGCCACCAACACAACCCCCTTTTCAACTCTTGTCGTTCCCGTGAGTGCCGCGGGTAACAGGCCGGCGTGCACATGCGCACAACGTAAATGGGCCACACGCTCGTCGCTCCGCTTTAGGAACGAGGTCACGAAAATTAAATTTTCTGATTAACGGCACGCACACGCCCGGGAGTGTGTGTGTGAGTGAGAGTGAGGAGAGAAAGAGAGAGAGAGAGAGAGAGAAACAGAAAGATAGAGAGAAGAGATAAATGATAATATACAGTCAACATCTTGTTCTTCTTCTTCTTCTTGTTATTATTATTCTTTCTTTCTTCTTCTTCTTCTTCTTCTTCTTCCTAATCTTACCCTAATCTTAACCTAAATTTTACACAAAAATGTTTTCTATTTTTAGAGATCCAATTTAATCCATATACATTTTCTTCTTTTTTTTTTTTAATCCCGCTAATTTTTTCCAATTTAGAAAAGTTGGCAGTGTTGATCGTATATCATCTTCTTTCTACTTAATTCGTCATGATTTTGAATAATACTCTTACTTGCAATTACTGTAAAATTAAATTGACTTTTTTTTTTAAATTATAGAAATATTTTATTTTATTTTGTTTTTTGAAGTACCTTTTAATAACTCGATCAATGTGTATATATATATACTATCTTAAGCACTTGGGTTCTGTTTTTAACGCCTTAGAGAAATGTTATGCTGAGATCATAAAAGAAAAAGAAACATATGGATAGAGGGAGAAAGAAAGACAGACAGACAGAGAGATAAAGATAAAGATAGAGATAGAGATAGCACGCGTATGCTGCTTTGTCTTTAAAGTTTCAAACGTAGTTCTTAGAGATACGCGATGCAACTCGATGCAACGCGATATTGTGCGCGTGCGAACCCAGAAACAAAGATGACAAGAATCGAGAGCGAGTTAAAAACCACAGTGGTGATGATGATGATGATGATGTTAGTGTTAGTGACGTGATGTGATGTGATGATGATGATCGCTTATTTTCGAACAATTGAAATTTACTGATTGACACATTTAAAAATTTTGTCTTTTTAAATAATAAATATTTGGAATATTCAAACACTGTTCATTAACACGTTCACGCCGGCGCGTACCACCGGTGGCCCGCGCTAGACTGTCCCATCGGGCGGCGCGTACCACCGGTGGTCCACCTTGGTCCAAGTTTGAACAAGCAAAAATTACGCGCCGTCAGATGAAGCGCATCTTAGATTCGAGTGCCGCCCCCACAGCGCAGACACTGAAGAAAATCGGCGCCGGCGTCAACGTGTTAAATAATATCTTTTCAAATATTAATCTGCTATTACTTTGATGTATTATGAAAAAGATTATTATTATTATTATTATTATACAACGTGAAAAAGTCTAAATTATATTTGTAATAAGTAAATCTTAATCATTAAAAAAAAGAAAGAAAAAGAACAATGTGCATGCAAGTACACGAACGGTGTAATTTGAAAGTTTCCATCGATTTGGAAAGAGAGAAAGAGAGAGTTCGAGTTGCAATCTAACGACACACAACAACAACAACAACCAACAAATTGAATCCTTCAACCGTGGCATATCCGTGTTGGGTTTTTTTTCAATGACGTAGCTAAAACGTCATCGAAAAACAATTGTAAGAAGGAAACAAATCGTTGATAGGTTGAGAAAAGTTTACCCCCCCCCCACGTTCTCTTCTTTCCAATTTCATTTGATTTCTTTTCGTATCTCTGTTTCTTTTCTTTTCTTTCTTTCTTTCTTTTTGTCTGACTATGCATATAACATAAGACAGTTACTTCCGTGCATCGTTAAGCGCGAGTTAACCCGATTAACGAGTTCTCTCGAACGTGCGTGCACGTTCTTAATCGGATGAAGGAAAGCAAGCACAAGAGCTCTCATCGAGAAGGTTTAGCGATCGAGCTACTCGCACGTCCGACCTGTCATCGCTCAAGCGTGTCTCTTTGGAAGCTTCGAAAGGAAAAACCGCTGCTGAGTGAGAGAATCGAATGAAAGATAGTTTAAAGAGAAGAGTGAGAGAAAGAGAGAGAGAGAGAAAAAAAAAAGAGAAGAATCGTTCGATGCGCCGCGTTGCTGCGGTGTGTGACCCGCGCATGCGCGCAAGCGCGTCAACTCGCCGGGAAAACCGGCGAGAACGACGATCTAACCGTTCGAACACTATGAAAACTTTTCAAATATTTTCAACTAAAGATCGATTTTATTATCGGATTTAAAAGAACTAATCAAATCTAATCTAAAATCGTTTTTAGAATATGTTAAAAGATAATAAATATATCTATATATACATATATAAGAATATTAATTAATCTAACGGTATAAAGTTATAAATTGTTTGATAATGACGACATAGAAAAAAAAAAGAAAAAAGAAAAAGGTTTCATATGTTATAATGAGAAATGTAATAGTAATTAAAAAAAAAGTATATGACTCACCTCTTGTCCGTTAGGTGCAATGATAACTTCAACCTCGTCTTCACGGTGCTGAGTGACCTCGGCTTGTATCTCCCTACCGTGGTAGGTTAGGTAAACCTTCTGACCGGGTACGAGGCGTGCGCCGGTGACGGAACCAAATCCGGGTCCTATGAGGTCACGGTCGGAATATTCGGTACTTGGACTCGGTGGTCGGCCTCCGGGCACCGAGTCAAATCTAACGGAGTACCGAGTCTTCGGTGTTATACTCAAACCAGACTCGGACGCCGCCGATGCCGGCGTTTTAACGGCGTGTATAACACCGCTATAATATTTGCCGTCCTCACCGGGCGCGCACACCCTCGTACCGATTATACTGCGCTTCGCCAGTCTCTTGCCCGTCGACATTATTCGAGCTCGAAGCTTTTTTCTCTCCACTCTGCCTGTCGGCGACAATATTACGTAGAACTGAATTTTGAAAGATTTTTATTATACCTTTTTCGTTAATTATTTTCTATCTTTCTTTTTATTATATAGAGAAGGATATATATATGTATATCTCTCTATATAATCATCTATCTGTTTCTCTTTTGATCACTTATAACACAACAAAACACACTGTGTTTCTTTAATTATCTATCTATCTATCTATCTACCTCTATCTCTTTCTCTCTCTCTCTCTCTCTCTCTCTCTCTCTCTCTCTCTCTCTCTCTCTCTCTCT